TCGTCCTCCCGCGAGAACTACGCAGTGAAATGGGGTTGAAAAAAAAAAAAAAAATCCTCTTCTATTTTCACGAAGCATAAATTGTCGCATATACTACGCTACGCATGTAACAAATAACGCATGGGTGAAAACCTCCGGGGATTTGTTTCTTCCCCCCACTCTTGCGCAATCTACGAAAGATGTGGTACCGTACTGTGATTTTTCGCTTATCTTCTTTTAATTTTTTTTTTTCCTCACAAGGCGAATTTAACGTTATCGTCAAGAAATTGCTAAACAATGTATGAAAAAAAAAAGGAAGAAAAAAAAGCGATGACAATGACAATGCTAACGGAAAGGCCAAAAAGCGAGGGGAAAAATAAAAAAATTACCAAGCCTGCAAAAAACTAGCAGCTGAATTAAAAACGTGACTTCTGTTTCTGTTCGTATCTACTTCTTCCAAATGGGAAAGAAAAGAATCACGCAAAAGATGGGAAGCATAAAATGGAAATTAAAAGTGAAAAATGCTAAGCGAAAAATGTTATGCAGATATAGAAAGAAAAAAAAAAAAGTAATCTTCGCTTCGCAGTTTTTTTCTTCTCCTTATATTTCCTGGTATATTAAATAAAAATTAAGTGCTCCATAAAAAGAAAAGGAGGCAATCCCCCCATGCGATAAGATATAATTGCCCTTCGAGGGGCCGTACGTATATGGCTCAGTTTATGTCGCATATAAAATTATCCTCTACTCATCATGTATACATCATTTTGTTTGCATACGATTTGGGGCTTATTTATATGTTCCTCTAGCGTTACTTCGAGACGTACAAAATGCTACGGATCGACCAGCTTACATGAACGTTCCAACTCTGTGCAGCTTTCTCGGTCGCGTGAATTATTGTTTCGGAGGCTGTGTTATTTTTTTGCCGCTTCACATGTTTTTGTATAGGTAATTTTGCCAATTTTATGCCAATTCTGTACCCATTTTACCAATTTGGCTCCTCTGCATTCCCTGGCTGATTGGTCATTAATCACCGTGACAGCCCGTTGGACGCACCTAGCCCGACGCAACTTTCCCCCCCTTATCCGGATGTCAAACGTCAAACTTCTGTGCTGACTGCGTTCCGCCGTTTACTGACGGTACCCCTTTTTTTTTTGTGCTCTTAATATGGTAGTAAAATAGTAGGCCATAAATATGCACAATAAACTTGACGTTCCCAGGCAAAATCGTTTTTTTCTTTCTTATTTCCAACGGTGGTCACAAAAGTGCGCTATGCAATCATGTGCACGTTCCTACATGTATACATGCGCTACATAATATGGATGTTTATTTTTCCCTTGAATTATTTCGCTTTTTTCATGTTTTTTTTTTGTGTTTCTTTTTGTGTTTTTTTTTCGGGGCCCCTTAACCCCCCCATTCATCACTCGCCCGAAAGGCATCTTCGTTTCGGGAAAACCAAAAGGGATCGTGCAGTTTATGTTAACTACGCATCGAGTATACATGAACAAATGGCGCAATCTTTACTCTTTTAACCCCCCAAAATGTAGATTAAAAGGGGTGACGGACCCACGACTTCACATTTCTTCTTCCGTTGAATTTTCACTTTGTTTATAAAAATCAGCACGTGCGTGGTATGCACAGTCATGTATGTCCGTATTGTGCGTAAGGAGCAGAATATAATTGCGTTACGATTATTTTACACCTTCCTCCCTTTGATTTCTTTTTTTTTTTTAATCCTTTTCCCATTGTATACATACATATATATGTATAGAGATATATATACATATAAGCATGTGAGCACAACTTGTTTAGTACCTCCCTGCTGGATCTCCCACTTTAAAAACGCTTTGCAAAGAAGCCAACTGTTACTTGTTCTTCTAGCAGCCTCCAATACGAAGATGCATATAAAAGTTAATGCATAAGGGGCGCAGCGTGTAATCATGCCAATGCGTGCAAATCCTTCGAAACGTTTTTTTCAATATATTTATGTATAACTTTTACGTACCCTTTTACTTTTCCGCTTAAATATTGCCAAAATGAATATGTTCATAAGTGCGTTTAATGTTTCCTCTCCTTTTTTTTCGAACAAGTGGATATGCACGTGACTTGTTCCCATACCACGTAAATAAAGAATCGTTTAGTTAGTTGGCCTTCGCTGAAAATCTCCCTGCTTCTACAAGGGGATATAGCCCCTATTATCGAAAATTATAACAAAGCAAAATGTATTGTTCATTTTACGACCCCAACAATCAGGGCGCGTGAGTCCACTCTAAAAGGTGTTAGCATCTCCTGCCTACCCACGCACGTATACATTTATACATGGTGCTTCCCCCCCACAGTTACTACATACACGGGGGACCCATTTCAGCGTGACTTAATATAGATTTTATTACTCTTTCCAAATTGTGAAAAAGCACAGCGGTTGTGACTGTTAATAATTCGCTTCATTCAGCTGACAAAATATGGTATCTTTCAATCGGGGCGTAAAAAAAATGCTAAAGCTTTAAGTCGAGGTGTTCCTCTACCCCTTCGCAGTGTTGTCCATCCGTGCTGCCAAACAGTCCTGTGGGGGTGTACATAAGTCCGCCATAGTGTTGAATTTTTCTGTCAATCCTTTTCTACATCGGGGAATTTCACACACTCATCACGTTTGATAAAAATAAAAAGCGACAAGATCATTTGGCATGACGCAGTGCAGTTCTGCACGATTGACAAATTGAATTCACTAGTCGCATAATTCACCATGCTTGTGGCAGTTTCCGTTCAAAACATTTTAACAAAATTTCTTTTAGTGTTGCAAAAATGAGTGATAAAATAAATAAATTCCTCTCGTTCTTTCTTAATATATCACTTTTTAAGAACCATTTGGTTAAGTGCAAAATGGCAAACATGTGTAAACTCGAATGGTAAAATGATCAACAAGACAACAGTTTTGAGTACAAATTATTCCAAAAAAGGAAAAGTGTCAAATTTTATGTCTATCTTCGATTTCTTAGGTCAACACACATTTTTCTGTGCACGGATGGGGACACAAATACAAATATACATATATGTGCGCCTTTGACATTTTTTCCATTTCTGCTATCTTACACTTTTTCCATGTCACGTTGCATATCTTCGCGTATAATTCTGAACCGTTCGGGAAAAAAAAAAAAAAAAAAAGACTGTTTCCTTATG